ACAAGATGGTCAGATGATGACGTCACATGATCAGAGAATCTATAAAGGCAAAACAAATTAACATTTACTTGTAAATTAGAGTACTAGATCATAAACCATTTATTTTGGTAACCTTCATTCAACTGGTCATAATACGAAAACAAGTGTGATTACTGAAGATGCTCAGTGTTCTCCACAGATAAAATTCCTAAGAGGGGCACTAATATTGCATATAATTAGCATACCAATCAAACATTTTAAAGAAAATTCTTAGCACTTTTATATTTACATCAACCTCAAATACTGTGTAAAAGTACTATATTAATGTTCTTGAATTATTTTGATGAATAAATCAAACTCCTTAATGTAAAAAAAAATGTTATTCTGTAATCGAAACAAGTTGTGAAAACTAGCCTTTCATTCATTTCTTTTTAAAGTATTAAGTATTTTGATTTTCTTAAGTTACACTGACATATTGTAATAGTTGAAGAGCTCAAGAAATAAGAAGAAAACTATTTTCACATTACAAAATTATTATTCAAAAGAAAAAATTGAATCTGATGACTGTAAATAAATTGATCATTAGTCAAATTAGATACCTTGTCATCTATGTTGTTTCAGTGTTTACCGTACGTTTTGTTTTGATGATTCTTTTTACTTTTCATTAATAAAAGGCAAGTATCAAGCAATTGGACCAGTAAACTGTTGTTGGCTCTTCTGAGGGAACTTGTTTTGACTCTCCCATGGCATGATTAACACAATGCTTGTGACAATCACTTCACGCATCTAGCCATTGTTTTTGTTTATTTTGCCAGTTGTTTTTCCCCAGACATCAAATTCATTGTCCTAGTTGTCACCTATGCCACTATCTGTCTCTTAGTTCTTTGTTTTATCGCCTGTCAATAAAAGGTCTCTCAATAAAGTCACCTGGACATCTTCCGGGACCCATGAAACAGCTGTTCACCGAAAACAAAGGAGGGTGCTGAAGGTAAATAAAAGGGCGCTAGAAATTGAAGAGGGACGCAAATAAATTATAGAGGGGCGCTGCGCCCCTCTCAATCTTCTCGAGGAGAACACTGATGCTAATTCAGTGATTGGATGAAGATACAATCATTTTTAATGCCTAATATAAATAAATGAGACAAAAATCACTGTGGCAATTAAAGTTCAAATACATAGACAAGCAGCCAGTCGGCTGAGATGGCTCTGCTGTTAGCAATGCACATTTCAATTAAACAACAGAAGATATCATTAGAAAATAAACAATATGTATAGTATCAAAGCGTAGGCAAGCCTCAATATGGTCTCATGCCACTAATTAACCAATGGCTGCTTTAAATGCCTTGCAAGAACCAATGACATTTTTTGAATAATTTTTTTTTTCAGGTGCTCCCTGTTTGAGGGCGTAACCACCTGATCAAAGGTGAGACCAACATGTGGTCTTTTGTTTACTACATAGCGGCTGTGTACCTGTGGGTTTATTCTGTGTGTATTTGGATGTTTTAATCTTGGTGTTTTTCCAGTGATTTCTCTAGGTGCAATCCAAATACAGTAGGTGTGTCTTGTTTACCTGAGATTTGTAAGAGTTTGAGCTGGCCAACATGTTAGTTTTTTTCATATGGTTGATTACTGGCATGTTGATTTCCCATTTTTGAGCCATGTTTTCAACTTTCTTCATCATTATCATATAGCAATCTCGTCATATGTTAACATTGTCTATGGAAATTCAATTAGTGGTATGAGCCCAATATATCGCCTCAATATGTTTCGATTGTATACAGCGCCACCAGTGGCTGTTCCCGACCCCATGCGTCTAGATTACATACAGTCTCTTGTTTATTTTTTGTTGTTTTTTTTTTCAATAAAACCAGTAGCCTCTCGGCTGAGATAGCTCCGCTGTTAGCAATGCACATTTCAATTAAAGAACAGAAGATATCATTAGAAAATGAACAATATGCATAGTATCAATGCAATGGGACTTGCTGTTTTCAACAAGAATTAAAAAATATCATTTTTCACCATAAATGATTGTGGTTTTCAACAAGAAGTCAAAAATATCACTTTTTACCAAAAATGACAAAAATATTCATCAAAATTAGAGAATTGAAGATATCATCATGAAATGAACAAATTTGAGAGTGGTCCACATGTAGTACCTATATATGTAATATCAACGCAATTGGACTTGTGGTTTTTAACAAGAACTTGAAAATATAATTTTTT